GTTTCTGATCTTGTTCATCACCTTGTAAACGAATTCTATATTCAACAAAAGTCCATTTTTCTCAACTGAATTCCGATTTCATTGGGATTAAGAGCATCGTTGCCCACGTCATTTGTCTTCCCCTGATTGAACTCTCGATCACTACAAAATACTGAGTGTGGATTTTAGGATCTACAGCCCTCGTAAAAATATGTTTTCATGTAGTGCGTTTTTTGCGCCAAAAAATTGTATTTTATTTTTATCGAATCATTTGAAAAATAATTTATTTGAGATTTGGAATTGAATAGACCTTTGCTGGCCAAGGTAAGTGAGTATGCTTGAGGGTTTTATGGGTTTGATGGGTGCATGGAATGTTTGAGCTAGTCTATCGCCTCTCCATTCAAAAGTGGAAGCGCTTATTTGAGCAATGGAATATATGAGGAATTTACGTCAGTATCGTGTCACTTTTGCAACATATTATTCTCAATTGGTGAAGATGGTTTTGGAACCAGAGGAATGACCAGCGTTTGCAAGTTATTTGGAGGATATCAAGACACTGAAAGGAAGTTTCCATAGCTCCGAGATCATCTATGTCCCGAGAACGTCACATACAAGGGCGGATAGCCTAACACATACTGGCAGGAAGCAATCGTCTTTTGTCATTCACATGGATGCAGAATTACCAGTTTGGTTCGCAGAGTCGACATGAGGCTGTATTTTGATGTCAAAAAAAAAGGAACTGAATAGACACTTTTTTTTGGAAAATACACTTTCTTATATGTGAAGAGAGATATTTATGCTTAATTTTATATACCACTAAAACAAAAGAAAATTAAATGTGAAATAATTTATGTTTTTAGATAAACACTTGTTAATAATTGAAAATAAAAAAATATATAAATTTTCCTAAATATTTGAAGGTTCATTTTTATAAAAAAAATCAATTTACAAATCTCTTTATTATTGATAGAAAAGAAACTAAAAATATTATTTAAGAAAAGTTTTATCATGCACAAGATGTAGATTTTAACCTATTACTATTCAATTAAAAATTATACATTTTAAATATGTTGTAGCAAAAAAATTATATTTCTCATATATATTCGAGCGTTCTAGCATTCCAATTTTATGATGCATTATGACCATTTGGTGTCCAGGAACCTTTATAACAAAAAGCATATTTACCTAGATGTGGAGAACATGATGAATCAGCCAACCATGCTATTTTTAATGCGTACTGGCTTTGTAAACATGGGTCCTTGCCTCGATACCATCGTGTCCAGGAACCTTTACAACAACAAGTATATTTACAAACTTGGACTATTTGTTTTGGAGAAAGAATGAGACTCAAGATCCTGGCATATATAGGAAGTTTTACCCCTAGATTATTTGGTATTTATGGAAAGTGCAAAATGAGAAACTGTTTAGAGATATCTCAAGAAATCTGCTTGAACTGGGCATGCATGCAGAAAGTGAATTCAACACTTGGTTTAAAGCAAATGCAAAAAACCGTAGATGTAAAACAAGCAGCACATATGCATAAGCAAGTTTTAAGCTTGCAAAACATTTGTTTAGTGGATGGATCATGGACAGCTGTAGCAGAGTGCAGTTGATATGGATGGGTTTTGAGGAACTGATTAGGAAATGAGCAACTCTTAGGATTAAGAAACAAATAAAATCATATGTTTTCTTTACATGCAGAATTTGAGGTTTTGATTTGGGCGATGTAGAGCATGATTCAGAATACCAATTGCCAGCATTTTGGGATGGATTGGAAGAATATAATGACAATGATTTAGTACCCGAAGGGTTGGATGAGTTACTGCACAGAGTTAGGAGAGTTCGCTTCATTGAAGATAAGATTTTCAGACTTCAAAATCTCATATATTCCAAGAATGCAAGATCAGACTGCAGACGATTTAGTTAGGATTGCTCGTAACTTTTATCGTCAATTTTCTTTTATTAGTTGTTCTTTTCCGGTCTGGTTTCCCAAACCGCTTCAAGTTTAAATAATAGAATAATTTTTTATGTTTAAAAAAAAGATATATTCTCATTGGAAACTAGGAGAATAATTGAGAATTGATTGTGCACAAAGAAAGAAAAATATTTATATCCAGTTTAGCAACTTTTTTCTCTTCACATGACAAGAAAAAAACAGTTTTACTTTATTTAAATAGTCACTAATAAAAATAAAAGTGGAAATTTTTCAACGACATATTTGATAAATAACCAAAAAAAAAAAATTTGGATTTGTGAAAAAGGTAGAGAGAGGTAAAGAGATAAATTAAGAGGGATGAGATTTTTTGGTTAGTTAGTAAATTATAGTTTCTCACTAAAAATAATGTCCACAAGTGACATACAATCAAAACCGTAGATAGCAATTTTTTTTATTAAGTTTGCTTGTTTATTAAGAAAATTAGATATATATACTATTTTTGACGATATAAAATGTACAATCCAAATGAGAGATTCAACAAAAAGCAACATGAGTAATACATTAAAAAAGATTATAACTAGCGTTTGTCTGTGGTCGGGCAGTCAAAGCGTTCCATAGATCCCTAAGAGACCCAAATTCAAATCTGCATCACACCAGATTTCCATACATACAGCCATTGGGATTTTCACGTTCTCTCTCTAGAGAATGGTTTACCATTTTTTCTATATATAAAATTATATTTTCACTAAATATTTATGTGTCGACTAATTGTTTTCCAAGCCCAAGTTATGTGATTCTTTAGCTGATGCTATTGCATTATTCTATATTTCGCAATTTCTCTATGTGAAAATGAATTTTCTTTTAAATCTATTATTTATTATTTGGTCGTGATTTAATATCATTTTTTATTTCTCTAGTCATGTTTTTGTTTGTGAGATTCATTTTTTTCACTAGCTTGTGTTTGATGAAACGTAAAAAAAGTTAATATCATAAATGAAACTTCCCTTTTTCTTATATTTCATAGATTTTTAATATTTATTTTTTGAAATTTCTATATTTTAAATTATATGAATTACTTTTTATTACATAAACTTTTGATATATTAATTGTGAACATTTAAATAAACTGAAATGAATTAATTATTAGAAGGATATACATATGATTTCATTTTTAAGAGATTTGGTATTAAAATAAGAAAAATGAGAAATTTAAAACAACTAAAAATACTTATAAGCTATGATATGACGCAATCATGTTATTTTTAGATTTATTTATGTAGATTACCTAAAATATTTCTTTATAAAAACTAATTTGAATCCATAAAATTGACTAATTGATTACATAATAAGATGTATATCTTATTAAAATTATTTGTGTTGCCTTCACAATAAAAACAACTTTATCCAAGATTATTCGAACTTTTCATATGAATTTAGTTTTTTGTTGTTTGTTTTATTGCAGTCTGAACTTTCATACCATCTAATTTAAGTAATAAAATAGATTTTTGAAATACAAAAAGAACTTTTTCTACTTTTCTCAAAATTGGTATTGTAACTATGATTTATATAAATAATATCATATTGTCTCGTTAGTAAGTGATCCTTGTAACTACGGAGATGATTGGTAACTGCTCTATATGCTGTGCAAAGCAAAATTATATCCACAGTCCTAAATCTACAGCAATCATCCTTCATTAATTTTAATAAAGTTCTAAACCTACAACAATCACCCTTTATTAATTTTTAAAAACTCACAGCCATTTTAAATCTTTACGTATGTGTGTGTGCTGTAGAAAGACAAAATCCTAGAGAAAAATTTATGTGCTTTCCAAATCTTTAGTTTTAGAGCTACAGCAAAACAATTCAAAGCTTTAATCCTAGAGCAAAAATCTTAAAGTTACAGTTATTACCAATCAAACCCTAAAGTGTAACTACAGTAGAACCTCTATAACTTAGTACTCGATAAATTAATAATCTCTTTAAATTAATAAATTTTACCGGTCCCAACTTGGACCGGTTCAAAATTTGACACAAATCGATAAAATAATAAGATAATAATTTTTTTGAAAGTTTTATGTAAATATATGGTCCCATTAAAACTTTAAATTAATAATTTCTATTTATACATATTTTATATAAGTAAGAACCTATTATTATATTGTTTATTTTATATTTACAATGGAATTATCTTTATATTTTATTGATACTTAATATATTGTTGATGAGATTTAGTAATATTATATCTAAAACTATATTTAAATTCTATGAAATATATATTATATACACCAATATAAGAAATTTAATATAAATTTCAAATTTCAAAAAAATGATAGTAAATATCTATACACGAAAATAAAATATTGTTCTTATTTTAGAATAAATATATTTTAAAATAAAAATCTAAGTAAGGAAACTTTGGTAAATTAATATCTCTATAAATTAATAAAACTTCAAAATTTCAACATTATTAATTTATAGAGGTTTTACTGTAGATGTTTTGTTGTGAAAATGGGATTATCTTTATCGTTTATCGGATATTAAAACTATCATATTACAATTTTACATATACTCTTGTATGAATCAAAGTTTAATTATTAAAACTGTGAAAAGAGTATAATTTAGGTGCGATACCTTTTGAACAAGGAAGATATTTTCTTTAGTATTTTTTCCTATGATACCTAGTGGTAAATATTATAACTTTTCCTTTTCGAAAATACAGTTTATGATTTAGTTATACTTTTGAGATTTGCCTTTGGGAGAATAATAAAGCAGTAACTGAGGATCCTACCAATTGCATGTGGAATAATCAAATCAAAAGGCCCACAAAAGATTAATCTAAAAGCCAACTCAGCCAACCCCATCAAACAAATGTGCTTCGTTTTGTCACTATTCATTATCTACCTGTCTTCTCACTGACTTCAAATCATTTTTATACATGTGATCATTCATATGTATGATGTATCTAATAACCTGAGAGATTCAGAATCAATAGTTACATAAGAGTTTCTTGCAGAGGAAACAACTGTTTTGAAAACCTAAACCTCCAATTGCTTCTCAAGATTCAGAGACTCTTACCAGCATAAAAGATGGAAACTGGAGTAGTGATCACCCAAGAACCAGTGTTTACAAAGGTATGATGATGACACAGACACACACACGTATATATATCTTATCTACCTCTTTCAGAACTTTGATTTCACAAGTAGGTTAGATTATTGTTTTGTAAATTGGGTGACCAGCAAGTTTAATTATTTTTGAAAAAGTAGGTTTCTTCTTTCTTTCTTTCTTTCTTTCTTTCTTTCTACCTTTTTCCTTTTGCAGTCTGATGATTGAAAACTTTAAAATCATGTTAAGGATCTTAGAAACTAGATCTTGTAAATATGTGGATTCTGTATTTTTAGAAAAACCTTTTTATCCAAACACTCACACAAAAGTAGATCTTTCAAGAACTTGTATGTTATGATAATAGTACATATGAAATTAAGTTGGTAAGCTTCTAATACAAAATTTTCTGACTTGAGACGAGTCTGCGATTTGGGATAGCTTGAATCGTTAATATTAACATGTTTCTTATACACAGACAAGTGTTGAAGAAGCTCATGCAGAAGTAGTACTTGACCACTCAACCATGGACGTAGATAAAGTAAACCTGAGTACTGTTCTTGATAACAGTACTATTCAGGGGGAACCAGAAGTTGCTGAGGTTGTAAATGTTTCAGGTAATAGGAGCAAGAAACTACAGCGGTAACAGCGCATTCAGAACGTTTAAAAACCATGAAAATTTGTACTGAAAAACTGTTCTTCTATATGATCAGGGGAAACCGAAGAGTCAAAACACGAAAAAGAACAAGTGATGACGACTATTTCCGTAGAAGGAGACAATACGATTGTTAAAGAGAAAGCAAGTGAGACAGAAACGGATGAAAAAGGCACAGACGATGGGAAGATAGTCTCAACTGATATGACGATAGAGAAGGAGAGAGAAGATGAAACTACCCAAAAAGCAGAAAAGGTATTTATTTTTAATTTTTTTGAAGCTTAAAACATAAGAGATGCTCACAATTCAGTGAGATACAGAGTAAAATCTTTTGTTCTGTTTTGTGCAGGTAAATGAAAAACCGGAAACAGAAGAAGGTCAAACAGAAACCAAACACTCACAAGCAGAAGAGAAGGACATCTCTAAGGTTCTTGTTGTTACCGCACGTCTTTTATTTATTTATTTATTTAAGTTGCTGCCTATCTACAGAACTAAGAAATAAGTACTATACTGCAGGCTAGTGAAGACATACCGATAAAGACTGATGAAGTAAAAGAAGAAAAAGATTCAACAACTGTTAAGAGCTCTGTAAATGGAACAGAGATTGAGCACAATGAAACCGTTTCAGTAGAAGAAATCTCGAACATTGCCAAAGAAACAGCTCCGGAACAAGAAACCACAACACATGAGGTTGAAACTACAGAAAGAAAAGACCCTGAGATCGTTAATAATGGAGAAACTACAGTTCAAGAATCTATAAGCACGAAGGAGGATGCAGAAACAGTGGAGGCAATCAAAAACTCAGATGATGCAGAGCAAGTCTCACGTGAGGTGGTGACTGAAGACAAAGAGAAGGAAGAAGACATCATCCACAAAAAAGAAGAGGTTTTGTCTTGTTTCCTTAAAGCTTAAAGATCAGATTTGAGAAAGACATGATTAATTTTAACACTATTTTATCCTCTTCTGTGAAGGTGCAAAAAGGTCCTACTGTTATAGAAGCGCCCACAGTACATGGAGAAGCTTCGAAGGCTACTGAGGAACATGAACATGAACATGTGTTAGTGAGGGACATACCACAAGAGGAGACCCTTGTACCTAAAGATGAGACTGTAAATACTTCAACAGTGCAAGAGTCTGCAATCTTGAAGACTTTGGAGACTAAGAGTGATGAAACAGATGCAGAACCGAGTCTTGACCTGAAAGAGGAAGAAGAGACCGTTACACCATCTGATGAGGTAAGGATATGATTTTTCATAAATATTAATTAGTAAGAAGCATAAATTTACAAGTTTATTTGATGAATGGCTTGAGTTTGTTAAGGCCAAAACTACCTTTTGTCTTAATTTATCAATTGAAGTTTAGTCTTAATCATCAAGGTTTGAGAGATAAACATGTTTCAGAAACTTAATAAACACCTGCATATTATCTTATTTGTGCAGGGGCACGAAACTGTTAAGGTGGTAATCGAACCACCAAAACCCTCAACAGATCAAAGATCCAAAGATACTGAAGAAGATGAACATGTTTTAGGGAGTAACATGCCACATGGTGAGATATTTGTAACTGAAGCTGAGTCTCTGGTGACCAAAGAAGACAAAGAGAAAGAGGATAAAGAACAAGAGAAAAGAGACATGTTTGAAGTTCCAATAGATCTTGCATTGAAAGCGGAGCTGATGGTTGAGAAGAAAGAAGAAGATCAAGTTTCTGGAGTGCATAGTGTGGAGAGAGTTCTAGCATTGAATGAGCCAGAGGCAGAGGAAACCCCAGTTAGAAAGCATTCTGATGTAGAATCAGGTGAGCAGATGGAGAAGTCATCTCTTGAGTCTCCTGAATTATCAGAGGAAACAATAAAAACAGAAGAAGTAGCACCGCATCGAGAAGGACAAGAGGAAGGTTCTTATGGATCAGAGACAAAAGAAGACACAGTTGCAGTACCAGAAAGTATTGATCTGGCTCCTTTGCAAGAAGAATCATGTCTGCCAAATGAGCAAGATGACGAAGTCAAATCTGATGAAGTTATACAAGTTTCATCTGAATCACCTAAAGGTGAGACACTTGTGGAAGCCAAAAAGATTGAAGTAATAAAATCAAATGAGGAAGACGAACAAGTAGCAGACAACATCCAAAGCATTCTAGAGACAGTTGATACCGAACCTGTAAAATCTAATGAAAAAATTACAGTTCATGAATCTATAAGCTTGAAAGATGATTCAGACACAGTAGAAGAAAGCAAAAACCCAGATGATGCAGAGCAAGTCTCACATGAGGTGACTGGAGACAGAGAAAAGGAAGAGGACATCATCATCCACAAAGCACTAGAGGTTTTGTCTTGTTTCCTCAAAGCTAAAGATCATATTTGAGAAATTTTAATTTTAACATTATTACATCCTTTTCTGTGCAGGTGCAAGAAAGTCTTGCGGCTGTAGAAACGCCGACGATTCAGGGTGAGGACACTCAATTGAAAGCTTCAAAGAATACTACTGAGGAACATGAACATGTGTTGGTGACAGACATACCACAAGAGGAGACCCTTGTACCTAAAGCTGAGACAGTAAATACCTCAACAGTACATGAATCTGCAGAACCTAGTCTTGGTCTGAAAGAGAAAGAAGAGACCGTACAGACTGTCACATCATCTGATGAGGTAAAGATATGAGTTTCATAGATATTAAAAACCTTAAAGTTGGAAGTTTAATTGGTGAATGGCTTGAGTTTGTTATGTTTGTTTAAGGAAAAAACTACTTTCGTCCTGATTTATCAAACCTGAAAAACAGAAGTGGTTTAGTCTTAATTTTATCAAAGATAAAAGATCAGATTTGAGCAAAACATATGTTCAGAAAACTTGATAAACACTAGTTTATCCGTTTCTTTGTGCAGGTGAAAGAAAGTATTACGTTAATGGAACCACCAAAACTCTCACCTGAACAAATACCTAAAGATACTGAAGAAGATGAACAAGTTTTGAGGAGTAGCAAGCTACAGGGTGATACCATTATAACTGAAGCTGAGTCTCTGGTGACCAAAGAAAATAAAGAGCAAGAGGATAAAAAACAAGAGAAAACAGAGGGACTTCAAGAAGTTCCAACAGATCTTGCGTTGAAGGTAGATAAAGAGGAGGTTACGGATGAGAAGAAAGAGGCAGATGAATTTGCTGGAGGTCAGAATATGGAGAGAGGTCGAGAATTGAATGTCTCAGAGGCAGATCTTGTTGAACAGAACATAACCGATGATAAGCAGTCTATTGAGTCTCCTTCTGAGGAAACAAGCAAAACCTTAGACGAGAAGATCCAAGAAAAACCAGAAGAAAAAGTACCGCCACATCAAGAAGGTCAAGAGGAAGGTTCTTATGGATCAGAGACAAAAGAAGAGACAGTTCCAGTACCAGAAAGTAGTAAGCTTAAAGAAAAATCCCAAGAAGAAAGGCTGCTTGTTATAACTCCTTTCCAAGAAGAATCATTCTTGCCAATGAAGCAAGATGAAGAAGAAATAAAAGAGCAAATCCACGAGCATGAACCAGCAAATGAAGAAATCAAATCTGATGAAGTTATACAAGCTTCATCTGCATCACCTGAAGGTGAGACCCTTGTTGAAGCCAAAAATAATGAAGAAACAAAAGACAATGAGGAAGAACAAGTAGCAGATAAGATCCAGAGCATTCTTGAGACTGTTGGTACCGAACCTGTAAAATCTAATGAAGATGACATAACAGAGAGCTTAAACTCAGTAAGTTTTCGGTTTTGACAATATTCCCTGCGTTTCAGCTTCCTCTTATCAGCAGAACTAATAAAGGATACTCTTACGCAGGCCGGTGAAGAGATACAGATAAAAAGCAAGGATGGAGAGAATGTACAACTAGATGAGACTGGTGAAGAGAAAGCTTCAAGCACTCCTGAGACCTCTGTAAACGGAAGAGAGGATGAGCACAATGCAATAGAAGAAGGGATCTCAAAGAACAATGAGATCATTGTGCATGAAACAAATACAGAAGAAATTAAAAACTCAGAGGAAAACTCACATGAGGTGACTGGAGACAGAGAAAAAGAAGAGGTTTTGTCTTCGTTCCTCAGAAACTAAGATCAGAGATTTGAGCAAAATATGTTTCAGACAAGATTAGTAACTATTAACCCCTTTTGCATTCAGGTGCAAGAAAGTCCTACGGTAATCGAAACAGAGGTATTACAAGAAGATAACATTGAATTGAAAGATTCAAAGGATACTATGGAGTATGAACATGTGTTGGTAAGGGATATGCGACAGATTGATACCCTGGTAACTAAAGTGGAGGATGTAAACACTTCAACAGTCCACAAGTTCGAAGCTACAACTTCCAAGACTTTGGAGACCACAAGTGATGAAACAGAGGTAGGCCAAGAGACACAAAAAGATATAGAACTGAGCCTTGAGTTGAAAGAGGATAAAGAAAAAGAGGAAACAGAGACAGTCATATCATCTGATGAGGTAAGGATACACATTCTCCATGGATAATAATAATAATGAACGACATGAGTTAATCAAGGCAAAAACACTGCTTTTGTCACTACTGAGCTAGCTTAAGATTCTGTTTTTTTTTTTTTTTTTTCGTTCATTTTTCATAAATGGAAAGTTTATTACCTTTTTGGATGTGTCTGTCTCTTTTACCTTCTCTGCATTCCTTGAAAACTTTGATTTTAATTCAATAGGTGAGACCTTCTGATCAAGTTGATGATGTTCAGACAGAAGAATCTGTTGAGGTTAAAACTATGGAAACCCTTCAAGTCGAAAGCACTGAGGAGACGCATGAGAATCTACTTGATGTACCATTTGGAGTTTCAGAAAAACTTCAACCCGAGACAGTTCTAGTAGCCAAGACAGAAAGCCAGGATAAAACTGAAGAAATTCCATCAGATCTAGTGTTGAAAGAGGAGGTTAAGGATGAGGTAGATGGAACTCAAGTTATGGGAGAACAGAGAGACCTAGAACCGAATGAGCCAGAGGCAGAGCAAGTTGATCAAACCAAAACCGATGAAAAGCTGCTTGGAGAGTCAGTTGAGAAGATGCAGACTTCATCTCTTGAGTGCCCTTCTGAAGTATCAGAGGAAAATATCACAACTGTAGGTGAGAAGATGGAAGAAAAACTTCAAGAAGAAGTAACACTGCAACAAAAAGAAGAGACCCTTTCAGTACAAGAAATTAAGAATCATGGAGAAGAAGTATCATGCCTGCAGCAAGAGCCAATAGAGAAGTATGAACCAACAAATGACCAGCAGAGTTCTGTGGAAGAAAAATCTGATGAAGGTATACAAATTTCATCAGAGGAACATGAAGGTGGTTTCATTGTTAACGCCGTAAAGCTTGAAGACATTAAAGAAAATGAGGAAGAACAAGTAGTAGAAGAAATTGTTTCTGAGACGACGGAAGATGAAAAAGTGAAGAAGGAAGAACCCATTGACCAAATATTAAGTGAGGAGGATGCAATAAAAAGCCATGTAACCGAAGATGATAATGAAAGTTTGACTTCAGAAAGAAAGAAAGGAGATGTGGAGACAACAGTGAGAGCGAAGCCACAGGGTGAGACTAATGTAAACGAAGATGAGACTGTAGATACTTCAACAGTCCAAGAAGCTGCAGTATCAAACACTTTGGAGACGAATATTAATGAAGCAGAGGCAGTGCATAGCCCAATAGGTGGAGAAGAAGAAGAAAGACAAGTGACAAAAGAAGACACTGAACCGAGTCTAGACCTGAAAGGGGATAAAGAACATGCGGAAAGAGAGATGGTTGATGAGGTAAGGATATATAGTCTCCATATCTATATATATATATATGTGTGTGTGTGTCTGATGAGACAGCTTCTCTATATTCCTTTAAATTTGTTTATTTGAAACAACAGGTAATCAAAGATGAGAGCCAGGGGAGAGAAGAGTCTGCTGAGATAAAATATAAGGATAGGGATACGAAACTTGTAGATGAACCAGCTGATGAGATGCAGAGGCCATCCCTTGAATCTCCTTCAGAGGAAACAAGCAAAACTATAGATGAGAAAATCGAAGAAGAAGAAGTAACTCTACATCAAGAAAGTGAAGAGACAGTAACAGTTCCAGAAAGTAGTGAGCTTGGCGTACAAGCCAAGGAAGAAGAAAAAGAAGAAGAATCTGATCAAGCTTCAGCTGCACCACTTTCGGAGGAACGGGAAGCCGAAGACTTCAAAGAAAATGAGAAAGAACCAGTTGAAGCATCTAGACCAAATGGAACAGAATCCTCTAAACTGGTGGAAGAAGACAAAGAGATTCTTGAAGTAGAAGAAGAAGTTCCTTCTAGTGAAACAATTCCACAAGAGACTCTATCTGATGATGTTAGGGCGATTCAACTAAAAAGAGAAGTTAATGCAACAACAACAGAAAGCCCTGAGGAAGAAGCAACGGTTGTACAGACAAGAGATGTTGAAACTTCTTTGACTGATAAGTTCTCTATAGAGAAGGTCAATTCAGCAGAGGACGGAGGAGAAACACAAACAAGAGAGGTTGAAGAAAATAATATAGTTGATTCTAATGAGAAGAATGATAATGAGACGACTCTAATTGCAGAGACAAGGAAAGAAGATGAAGACAAAACAGAAGATGCTTCGAAGACATCAGAAAACGATTGCACTAAGCAACAAGAGTTTGAAACCCCAAAGGTAGAGAACAAGAGCCAGGAAGTTTCCGAGACTCCAGCCTTTATTTCAGAACTAGAAGACAAAATTCCAAAGCAAATTGAGAAGATTCACGAAGAAGAAGCTCAAGTTGTGGCTGATCAGACTTCATCCTTAGTTGAAGAGATTCATGAAGAAGAAGAAGAAACAAATGAACCACACAAGGTAGAAGCTCTGAGTGGTCAGAATCTTCCAGTTGAAGCATCACATGCACATCAGCCCACTGAAATAGTTGATAAAACTGCAAATCAGGTTGAGGAGATCCATGAAGAAGAAGAAGAAACAAATACAGTTAAGTTACAACAAGAAGAAGAAACCCTCCCTACTGAAAGTGTTTCAAGTGAATCATTCAGTGAACGGCATGTTTCTGCAGTAACAGAAGAGAGTGTGGGAGAAACAAAACCAAAAGAATCAGGTGATCAGATTGAGAGTTCAACTAAATTCACAAAGGAAGAAGATGAAAAGGAAAAGGATACCCAAGTGGCTGAGATAATGAAAGGACAAAGCTTATCACATGTTCCTGAAGATGCAGGCCTGGAGCAGAAGGAAGAGTTAAAGGGTCTTGGAACTCTACAACACGGTGCAGCTATGGAAGATCAAGATTCTGTAATGAACGAAAATAGCCCAAGTGACTTTACTTTCTCAAATCCAATAGGAGAGGCAGAGCATGGAGATGAGAATAGCTCAACTCTTCCAGTAGTTGGAATCTTGAAAGAACTCCAGACTACAATGGAGGAGAAAGAGAGAGGAATCAATAATTCTGAGGGTGGCTCAAGTGGGAATGGTTTGAAATCAATCAATGCAGAACCAGAAGCCCTGGAGAAGACTCTTGTCGGGGAGGAAACTCCAGCTTCTGAGATAATAGAAGCAAACATGTTACAAGACAGCATAAGCAGAGAGCTTGAAGTAGTCGATGATGTAGAAGAGCAACTACAAGAAGAAACTTCAGCTGATTTGTCAACCCAAGTGTTACCTGGTCTGATTCCATCAAAGCAAGAAGAAGTCAGGAAACAAGACGATATAAATGCTTCAACATTAGAGAAGATAAGCCTACAAGAAGAGAAGCATCCTAGAGATTTTGAAATCTCCAAGAAAGAGCGAAACGCAGAGGCTCAAGAAACTCTTAAAGAAGAAGACCAAGCTTTTGATATTGAAGAGGAAAAGAAGAACGAGGTGTTACAAGATGAGAAGCTTAGCACTCTTTCCCCTGAAGTGAATAATAATAATCAAGAAGATGCAAGTGAGCTTGGAGTTGGTCTAGTAGAAAAAGATCAAGAAGCTCATAGTGTGTTTGGGAATGCTGAAGAGGTGAACGAGGTATTAACATCAGAGAATAAAATCACAGAGCCTCTGAGTATTGTAGTTGAGAAAGAATTAACTGAAGAACATGATAAGTCCCAGGCCGCATCAGAAGATACAAAGAGCAGTAATGAGATGGATTTTACTTCAGAGAAAATACCAAAGGATCAAAGAGAAGAGGCTGAAGAAACTGTTGATGCTAGCGAAAAAGTGCAACTGCAAGATCAGTCAAAGGACTTTGGACAAGAGAAGCAGTCGACTGATCTCAAATATGTCCAGGGAGATCTTGATGATGAAATGAAAGATGATGGCCATGATTCAGTTTTAGCACATAAGAAAGATTCAGACTTAATAAAGGAGAAGGAGCTTGATTATGTGAAGGCAGAGCCGGAAGATGCAATCAAATATGGAGTTTCCACAGAAGAGGTAAATATTTAAATTAAAAGACACATAACCATATTTTGTCGTTACTTTCTAACCTTTTAATGTGATATTGTCAATGCAGAAGAACATGTGTGAAAAAATTGGCCAAGAAGCAACCAAAGAGATATATAAAGAGGAGTTCAAGCAAACACATACTGCAACTGCTGTCAAGGAAGAGATCAAAGAAGAAGAGGTCTGAAAGAGAACATTATGCAGTATTTTATTTGTTTGTTTGTTTTCACAACCATCTATATCTAAGCCGAATTAATTACCTGCAGAAGGAAACAACAGACGACAATTTGAACAGTATGAAGAACACCGATGATGGAATTAAAGATTATGTCCTTGATTCAGTGGTAGCACAGAAAAAAGAATCAGGCTCAATAGAAGAGAAGAAGGAGGCTGATTATATGAAGACAGAGCTAGAAGATGCAATTAAACATGGACTTCCCACAGAAGTGGTAATATCTAAAGCAAAGAAACATAACTATTTTAGTTAGCTTAGATCCTATATGGTTGTACTAATTGTTTTTTCATTGCTAACCTAACTTTCTAATGTGATATTGTCTAACACAGAATAGCAACTTGTCTGGAAAATTTGGCCAGGAAGCAACAAAAGAAATCTATCAAGAGGAGTGTAAGCAAGCAAATGCTGTAACTGCTATCAAGGAAGAGATCAAAGAAGAAAAGGTCTGAAAGGAAACATTATAGTATTTTATTGTTTTTGTTTTGACAATCATCTATATCTCAACTGAATTAGTTCTCTACAGAAGGAAACACCAGAGGATTTTCTGAACAGTATGAAGAACACCTATGATGCTACAGAAAAAACAAAACCCGAGATTCAAGAGATTGACAAATTGTCTCCTGTCAGTGAAACACAAGAAAACCCACCAAAGGTATAATCTTCTTGCCTTTTCTCATGAAGTAATGGCCACAAATTCATCCTAAGTCACAAGAAATTCCTACAAACAAAAGCTTATCTTCATTTATTTTATTTTTGCAGGAAGGAGATGAAGTTCCAACCCAACAAAAAAGGGAAATAGCTGATGATGTTCCAAAGCTAGAGAATCTAAAGATTGCAGAAGAGGTGCAGCAAAAAGATGGAGAATATGAGACTGAACCAATAGGAAAAGAACCAGCTAGGAAGTCCCTATCAGACCTTATCCAAAATGTGAAAGTAACAGACAAGACTGAAGTTGCTACAACAGAACCTCGTATAGAAGAAGAGGCTAAGGCAAAGGGAGACGATGAGGATGGAGATGAACATAAAGATGATAAAACAAGTCCAGATTCCATTGTGATGGTTGAAGCTAAAGATACAGTTAGCATCATCAAAACTCAAAAGAAATCACATGGCATTCTCTCTGGTGTTGGCTCAAAGGTAAAACATTCAATTTCAAAGGTGAAGAAAGCACTCACTGGGAAATCTTCTCACACAACAAAGCCTTCATCACCACAGTAAGAAAGCCAAAAAAAAAAAAAATTCAATATTTCTTTTTATTTTTCGTTTGTTGATTTATTTGATTGGCTCTTGTGAATATAAAAAATTTGTTTATGGGTTGTTCTTTGATATACCATGGATTTTACCACTTTTATACCATTGTATATGTACTTTATTGAGTCTATTATATGAGTTTGGAGTATGTTTTATAGTGTTTTAAGGATTAGGTACGTTTTGAAAAACTTTGGTGATTTTAGAGTCTTTTAAGGTGCAAAACTACACATGTGTCAGATGTTTAGCTATAGATTGAGAGCTTCCTATGGTAAAATTGAAGGGATATTTTGACTCAAGATAGAGCTTTGAGTTAGTTTTCTTATTCCATAGAGTTTAGGTCCATCTGACGGTTAGATCTAAAGTTATACTTATTTTAATGAAGAGTGGTATGTCTGCTTCCGAGGAGATGAAGGAGCGTCGATCGACGACACAGCCTTGTTGTTGACCGAAGGTGACCCCAGAACACCGGCCGAGTATATTTTAAGACCGACTAAAGTCCAGAAACCACAAGTTACCAGAATACCCCTGAACGACCCTAAATCCTATTTATGTGTGTTTTAAGCCTTGTTAAGAGCTACACTTTCTTTTATTCATTATTCTAGGTCTGGAGAAGAGTATATATTCTCTTTTAGAGATTGATTGGAACTCCATTGGTTTTGTCATTATTTATATTCTATTATTTATTCAGATTATGTTTTGTGTTTCTTCTTCAGTAATTCTCATGTTTAAGGATTTCATGTCAAACTGATAATCAATTAGGATTTCTAGGTTATCTATAGGAGCTTGTAATACTAGAATTTGGAGTAGTTAGAAAATCACAATAGTGTGACTGATTACTTAAACCTAGAATCATAGGATAATTGAGAGGCATGTGAGTGCAATCGATTAACAGAACTCGAACTCTACTGGATTAGATACATAGGCGCATACGGTAGTTGATCTAGGATTTAGTTGACCATTATCGATTGAGCGCTAATGCTTGCCTGGAGAAGCATCGAGCGACTCTCGCTCCTTGTTCACACGCGACAACTGGAACATAGGAGCTCCTTGTTCACACGCGACAACTGGAACATAGGAGTTAGACATCTGATTAGTAATCGCATGCAAAAGCTGGATTACTTACTATTGAATTTGATTTTTAGAATTGAATCTATAAAACCCTTAGCATCCTTGAATTTGTGTTCTGAATCTCTTGATTGAGAAATCCCTAACTCTAGCCATTTCTCCTTATTGTTTATAAACCGATTATCTATTTACTTCTTTAATATTGATTGTCTAGATTAATTTTAATATGTAAAGTCTATTGTGTGTTCATGCTCCATGTGGATATGATCCCTAAGTAATACAACTGAACTTCTTATTTGAGAGAGTAAAGTTGCTCAAAGGATAATTTGAGTGATATCAAATTCGGCTGGGGAGCATTGGATCACCATTAGACTTGGTTAATAAGTTTAGTCTAGGTTTTTATTTTCTGTTTTAAATTACTTACATAATAAAATTTCTTGTTTTTCAGTTACATGCCTATTTGTATCAGAAGCAGCAAGGAGAAATAACTTTTCTTCCCAGACCCATCACGTCTCACTGCTTGATCTGCAAAGAGAAACGCACAACATCGATGACACCATCTCTACTTCGTCAATCGACACTTGTGACCGAGCAACGAGCGACACCTCTACTAGAGCATTGATCGATACGAACCCGCAAACAACATGACCGCAATTTTGTGCTGACAAGGAATGGGAATGGAGATATGCATGACCTCGAGGGTCATTTGTGTAATGCAACTGGTCAGAAATTAGATGTGCATGGGGCTGTGATCCTTGAACCATCAGCTGCTACCGAGGTGATATAGTTCTTCAACAAAGAACGATTGCAGAATGGATCAGACCTTGCCAGATATATGCTAACATGTCTGCGATTAGACCTCCAGAAATCCAGGGGGGTTGACGGCTAGATAAAGCCTGCATACTTCTTTCATGTGGGTCAGAATCCTTTTCATGGCCTTGCTCATGAAGATCCCATGGATCATATTGAAACACTAGAATATTTTTTGTCTGGCATCCAAGAGCATGAAGGAATCAAAGAAATAAAATCTGGACATTCTCCCAGGGACTTACTGAAGCATTCAGAAGCTCATGAGACATGTTTATAAAATATTAAAGGGACTGTCCACATCATGGTTTTACGGAGGTTCAGCTGTTAAAAATTTTCTTTAGGGGTATTCATTTGTGCTATATGTTGATGCTGGATGGTGCAGCGAAGGAAACATCAAGACCAAGACTCTAGAAGAAACTAAGAGACTTATTGAGAACTTGGTGTCTAGTAGCAGTCCCAAGAATATGGATATGCACATGATGAAATCAGCTGTAATGGATGGTGACATGATTGTTAAACCTGTCACTGGTTCTGTACATGAAGTCTCATTGGTGGAACAAACTGTAGAGAATCATGGTTATATTCAAAAAATGGAATCTAGGATGGAAAAGGTCATAGAAATTCAGTAGAAGACGAGTTCATACTTCTGAGGTTGGATTTTGTCTACAAAGAGCATAATGGGAAATATGTAGCTTTGGGCGATGATATTATGAGGCTAAACACTCAGGTTTCTCAGATTGCAGAAGCTATGACGAAGCAAGAGGCTCTGGTTAAAGAGAAAGCTGAAGAAAACCAGAGGCACCGGGTTGATGCCATCTTAGATAATGACTTTGGGGAAGTGATAGAGCATGAAAAGCTAGAAGAAGGTACTTTTTGGCTGAAAATGCTATGTCCACTGGCAGCTTGAACTGGTGTCGATCGACACCATCAGCTGAGCACCGATCGACAACCCTTGAAGACTATGTTGAAACGAGAAAAAAAAATGAGCCACACAGACTTCGCCGCTCAGCACTTGAATCCTCCCATCCCATGCGTTAAAACAAACGACATCGATCGACAACAACATGAAAGCATTGATCGACAACAATGGGAGAGCATCGATCGATCGACAACATCAGTCGAGCAGCGATCGACGATACACATCCAGTATAGATCAATACCAAACGGATGGACATGAACCGGTCATGGAACAAGAAGCAACAAAAAAAAGAGTTCCAATTAGAACGAGAGTAAAATCTAGGAAACCCTACGTTCCCAAACACCTCAGGAGAGAAGCTAACAAAGCTGAACTGGATGGATTTCAAAAGAGACTGAAGAGGGTTCTTAAAGATATGAGTTTCAAGGATGCTTATCATAAGTATAAACTTGGTAATTTATTCAGAGAGAGCAGAGAGACATATAAGGACACTGAGCTGATGTTTAACAAGGTCAACCGTAGACCTAAGAGGACACTGAAGAAGGAACAAGAACCTGAGAAGTTCATGTTCCATGCTGTATACACAGCCACGATTTCCCAAACGCCCTCTGCGATACTGGATCTGCAGTCAGCGTCATGGCCATAGATACTTCTGAACTATTACAATTAAAGATGGAATCTTCTCAGCCATCAGTGTCGATAGACCCTCAGCCTTCAGAATGAGTCGACATTCAGAAATCAGTATCGATCGACACCCTTACAAATTTCAAAACATGCCGCGACTGAAAAGCCTAAGTCTGAGGAAAATGACAGGAAGAAGAAAAAGAAAAAGAAAGTAAATCATGAAGATTTCTTGTCAATGGATCCTTCGCGATGTCATGATGGAAGTCTTGAGATGTATAGTGCTGGAAAGGAGGTCTACAACCTTTTATCAAGGCCAGAATGCATAATATAGTGAAGATGTTATTGAAGTTTGGAGCATATCTACAAAGAAAGAGAAGCTTAGAGAAAGAAAATTCCATATTTATGGTGAACCAATTGCATAGACAATAAAGTAATAAACAAAGAATTTATTGGTGTCATTGTTGATTCTTTGCATGCAACAATAGCCAAATGGATTTTTAAGCATTATCCAGAAACTGCACTACATGTTAAGTCACAAGACCTAGCCCTTATGATGAAAGACATGCACATTCTCCTTGTTACCTTCAAGACACTTTCCTACAAGAAGTTATGTGACGATGTATCTGATGCTCTACGACACTATGTTTCAGCTAATTTTTCTTGTTTTAAACGAGCAGGTTTTAAGGTGGAATGGTTGACGGCAAAGCTTGTTGATGTTGACGTGAATGCTTGTAAAGTAAGGATTGTGAAATTCAACGAAGAAGTCAAGAAACACGAGCAGATGATTTTCCATCTCAAAGCTAAGTTGAAAGTGGAGGAGGCCAAGTCGAAGAAGCATAGTTACTTACTTATTTAGTTATTTTTAAACTTATTTAGTTTCTCTCAGTTACTTATTATTTTATTATTTTATTATTATTACATTTTGAAATCTCTTGTTTTAGTTTGAAAAAATATTAGGGATAAAATTTCATTTTTGGTGTGTTTAACGCGAGGGTTCATTGACTAAAAAACCACTTCGTAAACATACTTTATATATAATATATATTTTTATATATTCAAAGAAAAATATTTTTGAATAACGCAACATAAAGTATTTCTATAGAATGATAGTTATCAAATCAATAAAATTTGTTTTTTGGTTTATGGTTAATTATATATTTAAATATAATTATTCATTAATGTTAATAAAGGTTTTATAAAATAATATATATTATTTTAGATAATGATAATTATTAAATCAATGAAAATTGTTCCTAATTTATGGTTATTAATATTTTTTTAGTTTATGATTAATTAGATATTAATAAATTTAATTCTTCATTAAGGGTAGTACTTACTCATTAATCAAAACCATAAGAACATGACAATAAACAAAATCACCCAAAATTATGGAGAATGTGACACATAAACATAATACTTTCTCAAATAATAGTATAAAAGATTGCTATTGGCTCTTTAATAATGTGTATAAATGATTTTTTTTTTATAAACAGAATCGAAAAGGGAAAGATAAATTTTTAGGTGGTGTTATTCATTGATGTATTTTAATAGAGTTTAAATCTAAACATAGTCCACTGTTATTCAATTGATGATTCTGATTTCTATTTTAAAATCTAGTGTTATTCGTTGAATGATTTAAATCTAGTATTTAAAATCTAGTGTTATTCAACTTTTAATGATTTTAAAATTCTTTGATTTTGGTTTGATTTCAAATCATATCTTGTGATTTTTTATGAACAAATGAATGAATTCAAAATCTAAGGCCTACTGCAGAGATTTCAAAATTCATCAGCTTAAACTTTCTTAAAATTTTAAAATTTGATAGATTATAAAACATTAATCATTGATTTGAAATCACTAATTGAATAACACCCCCTTAAATTTTGAATTTCTTTTGCTGCCTATATAAAGAATAGCCATGATGAAGCAAGAACAACTTTATAAAATAAACTTCTGAGAATTCACTATGTTTGGAGCATATCTATGGAGAAAGAAAAGGTTAGAGGATGAAAGCTCTACATTTATGGTGAACCAATTGCAGGGACAACAAAGTAACAAATAATTGATTGATGGCTTCACTGTTGATTCTTTGCAGGCGACTCTAGTTAAATGTTTTTAAGCATTATCCAGAAACTGCAATGCATATTCAGTCGCAAGACCTAGCACTTAGGACGAAAGACATGCACATTCTCCTTGTTACCCTCAAGACACTTTCCTAAAAGAAGTCGTGTGACGATGTATTTAATGCTCTACTATAATATGTTTCAGCTAATTTGTCTTATTTGAAACAAGCATGTTTTAAGGTGGAAGGGTTGAGGGCAAACCTTGATGATGTTTATGTGAATGCTTGTAAAGCAAGGATTATAAAACTCAAGGAAGAAGTCAAGGAACACGAGCAGACGATCTCCCGTCTCAAAGCTAAGTTGAAAGTGGAGGAGGCCAAGTTGAAGAAGCATAGTTATTTACTTATTTAGTTTTTTTTTACTTATTTAGTTTCTTTCTAATACTTATTTTTTTATTATAATCATTACATATTATCTCTTGTTTTAGTTTGAAAAATAGTAGGGGTAAGATTTCGTTTATTGTGTTTTAACGCGAGGGTTCATTGACTAAAAAATCACTTCGTAAATATATATTTTACTAGGTGATTTTCCCTTGCTCATGCACGGGTATGAATATTCATAAAGTAAAATTTTATAATAATTGATTGATATTTTGTTTTAGTTTCAAATCAATTTATATGTATAATTTATATTAATTAATATTATACTATTCTAATTATACATATGACTTTGGATATATTATTGTCGGTTTAATTATTTTTTCGAACAATAGTCAATTTGGTTATCAATTTGGTATATTGGATAATATCTATTTTTCGAATTTAGCTGTAATATTTTTTATTCTAAATATAATAAAACTTTGATTAATTTTATTATTTTCATTGCGGTTGGTTATTTTCTTAGATATGTAAATATATTCTTAGATATGTAATTATATTTTTAGAGATATATATATATATATATATATATAGTTAAATTATGTATAACTTAATATATATTATGCTTAAAATGAAATCTCTATAATATTATTTGACAAGTCAATTCCTTATGTGTCGCGCTCACGTTAACTTTTACGAATGTTGATTACTATGATACCCCTAATAAATTTTAAAAAATACATTTAAGTATTATTATTTCCTTTTCAAAATTTTTCAAATAACAATATAAAATAAAAAGGAAACATTTATAAAGTTTACAAAACTATTTAAAACAAAAATATAAGTATATAGAAATATGGTTTCATAAAAAATGAAAGTTCACAATATAGTAATATTTAATTTAAATATATTTTAAATAACATAAAATATACTTTTGAAGTAATAAAATACTTCATATTTATATCTTCTTAGATGAAAAACAATATTTGTATATAATGTGATTCCATAAAAAAATTTCACACAACTAATCTTGATATTAGAAAAAGAAATATTTTTTGTCTTAAAAAAATAATTTTAAACAATATATATATATATATATAAATATATTCAAAGTAATTATTGTTTTGGTATATATCTATCTATTTTATTAGATGATTACATAAAATAATTAAGTAACATAAACTGATATATGTTTAATTGAATTTTTTTTTTATAATTTGTATTCTTGAAATATATATATTTTTTTATTTTTTTAGTATATTTATTTGACTATAATATCTCACAATACAACAAAACATATAAATTCTATTTTACTTATATAATATAATTTCTCAAAAACAATAACATTTTTACTGCATATTTTAACAGATATTAAAAACAAAACTAGAAATAAATTTTAATAATAAACATTTTTGATTAAATACTACAATTATTTTAAAATATCATAACACTATATAATTTAACGAAGTATATATAATATATTTTAATTGTTAAAATTATATGTTTTCTTAATAACTCTTTTGATTTTTAATTTTCTGTTTTTATGTTTGTGGAACTTAATATAACCATAATCAAAATACTTAAGCAAATTAGAATGCTTATTTTTAAAATTATTTAAAATAAATTTCAATTTTTCATCCAATCAGTCTAAATATTGTTTTTTTCGTGAAACATCAATCTAAATATTGTAAATATTGATATGTGTTCATAAGCTTCTAAAAATGTATTAGTTACTTAGATATGTAATTTAGAATCAGACAGTTTAGTTTTTACTTTTTTTCTTTCTAACCACAAAAAATCTTAAGTTATACATAATCTTACTAAATATATTTATATTTCTAAGATAACAACCGGCATAAATGCAAATAAGACAGTTAATCCAAAATTTAATATATTTAGGATAAAAAAGATTATAATTGAATTCAAGGAAATAGATAAAATTTAATATATCTAAATGATAACTAAATCAACCGTAAAAACAAGAAAACTAACAAAATACAACATATCTAAAATTATGCATATAATTAAATTAATATAATATTATTAATATAAATTATATCTACAAATTATAAATTAATTTAAAATTTAAAGTAAATATCAATAAATTATTATAATATATTTATTTTATAAATATTTATGTCCGTGCATGAGCACGGGAAACTCCCCTAGTAAATAATAAGCAGAAGTGTTTCATTCAAAATTATATAAAGGAATATAATGATAATATTTTGAAGTCTCATAATATTTATCAAATTATATGTTGATTTCTAAAAAAATGTAGAAAATAAAGTGTAACTGATAAATTTTTGGAGGTTCATGAACATATATATTTTTATTATTTTGAAAATATATTTTATGTTATTTAAAAATATATATTAATAGGGGTATTATTGTTTTGTGAACTTTCCTTTTTAATAAAGTCATATTATTTACATATATTTTTGTTTTTAAATTTATTTTAAAATTATAGAAATATTTCATTTTTGTTATATATGTTATTTGAGAAAAGGTAAAAGAGAAACTAAATAAAAAAATTAATAATAATTTTAAAATCTAACAATTCATTAAGGTATCTATGTAATCAACCATAGCGAGAGTTAACGTGAACGCGACACGTAGGAAACTGACTTCTCAAATAATATTATAGAGATATATAATATAATTTTAAAAATCTAGTGTAAAACAATTTTTTAATAACGCATCATAAACTAATTTTATAGAATTATAGTTATAAAATCATGCGATTTATTTTTTTAGTTTATGTTTAATTATATATTTAAAATATAATTATTTTATTAATGTTAATAAAGAATTTATAACATAATATATATTATTTTAGATAATGATAATTATCAAATCAATGACTTTTTTCAATATGATTATTAATACGATTTTAGTTTATGATTAATTAAATAGTTATAAATCTAATTATTCCTTAAGGGTGGTAGTACTTACTCATTAGTCAAAATCATAAGAACATAACAATAAACATAATATATATTATTTTAGATAATGATAATTATCAAATCAATGACTTTTTTTCAACATGATTATTAATACGATTTTAGTTTATGATTAATTAATTAAATTGTTATAAATCTAATTATTCCTTAAGGGTGGTAGTACTCATTAGTTTATGATGAAAGCTCTACATTTATGGTGAACCAATTGCAGGGACAACAAAGTAACAAATAATTGATTGATGGCTTCACTGTTGATTCTTCGCAGGTTTCAATGCATATTCAGTCGCAAGACCTAGCACTTAGGACGAAAGACATGCACATTCTCTTTGTTACCCTCAAGACACTTTCCTAAAAGAAGTCGTGTGACGATGTATTTGATGCTCTACTATAATATGTTTCAGCTAATTTGTCTTATTTGAAACCAGCATGTTTTAAGGTGGAAAGGTTGAGGGCAAACCTTGATGATGTTTATTTTAATGCTTGTAAAGCAAGGATTATAAAACTCAAGGAAGAAGTCAAGGAACACGAGCAGATGATCTCCCATCTCAAAGCTAAGTTGAAAGTGGAGGAGGCCAAGTTGAAGAAGCATAGTTATTTACTTATTTATTTATTTTTTTACTAATTTAGTTTCTCTCTACTACTTTTTTTTTTATTATAATCATTACATATTATCTCTTGTTTTAGTTTGAAAAATAGTAGGGGTAAGATTTCGTTTATTGTGTTTTAACGAGAGGGTTCATTGACTAAAAAATCAATTCGTAAATATATATTTTATATATAATATAATTTTAAAAATCTAGTGTAAAACAATTTTTTTAATAACGCAGCATAAACTAATTTTATAGAATTATAGTTATAAAATCATGGGATTTCTTTTTTTAGTTTATGTTTAATAAAATATTGATATTTTAACTTTCTCAGAGACGACTTAACTGTAAGTCGTCCAGAAAAAGTCAAATATCTGACACAATTCGGTCAAATGAAAAAGTAGCTCGGTTTATCTAGACGACTTAATTATAAGTCGTCTGGTGTTTTTTTTTTTTAACAAACAAAGCTGGACGACTTAGAATTAGGTCGTCCCATTTAAATTTCAATTGCAAAAATGACCTCATTGGACGACTTACGGGTAAGTCGTCCAGACGACTTACTGGTATGTCGTCTGCGTCAATGTTTAGTAAACTTTCATGAAATTCTCTATGTTTACTAATGTGTTTTATTTTGAATTTTTGCAGATGATTCGTCAGTTACATGCAGTGTATGGAGAATGGTTGT